TGCTCCACGAGAAGCCTTCAGCTACGGTGATCGAAGTGGTGCAGGACCGCAAGGCTCTTGCCGAGGGCCAGTCCATCGTGAACGGCGTCGTTGGCCAATCGCTGCCGAATGGCGCAGTGCCCCCCTCCAACATTCGCTACGCACTGGCGCAGGGTGACGGTGTCACCGAGACCGAAGCCGCTGCTACACTGTTCGGTGAGGCACTGCCGCTGGATCAGGCCACCCGGGACGCTACTTCTGCTGATATCTTGGTCGTTTCGCCGCCTCTCTCCCAGAACCTGGTGGGTGATGACAATACCCTCTTGGATTCTTTTGTCGGCCTGGCCAAGGCGGATGCTACCCTCGTCCTCTCCTCGAATAGTCGTCAGGCTCTCGCAGCAAACACACTATTCCTCCAGTCCAAGGGTTGGCGAGTCGTATCAACACTTTCTACAGGTGATGGCAATGCGGTTGTAGCCCTGTTCAGATATAGCCCGGACGCAGAACTGCAGAACGGCGAGACAACATCGGCTCACAACTTCGTCATTGTCCTACCCTCCGAACCATCGCCTGCCACTCAAGACTTCTCCAAGACGCTCGAAGACAAACTGATTTCCCAAAGGGAGACCGTGGTGGTGAAGTTCTGGGATCAAGTCGCTGGTTCTGCGTCAGGAGTGAACGACAGCGACTCGTTGTCTCCCGCCGTCGTCGTATCTCTGCTGGAACTCGAGCAGCCCATACTAGCTGATCTTTCCGTGACTGATTTCCAGGCCATTCAGAGCCTGATCCTGCAGAGCGAGCGAATCCTCTGGGTAACTGGCGGCGGCGATGACCCGTCCTTCTACGTCGTGGACGGCCTCGCACGAACCGTCGCCAACGAGAAGGCCAGCCTGCGGTTCCAGACACTCCATCTCAGCAGCCCGTCTGCAGCAAGCGGACCGTCGCTCGCCGGCCGGATCCTCGCCAGCGACACACCCGACAACGAGTTCCGCGAGGTACAAGGTTTGCTGCAGACGTCTCGCGTGTACAAGAGCGCGGTGGGCGAGCGGCGCATCGCCCGCCACCTCAAGGACGCCACGCGCATCGTGCCTCTGGCCCAGGAGAAGTCGCCCGTCCGCTTGGCCATTGGCCGTCCTGGTCTACTAGACACGCTCCACTTTGCCAAGGACGAGCGCACACTCGAGCCACTTGCCGACACAGACGTCGAGATCAGCGTGCGCGCCTCGGGCATCAACTTCAAGGACATCATGGGCGCCATGGGCTTGGTCCCGATGCCGATGTTGGGCTTGGAAGCCAGCGGTATCGTGGTACGGACCGGTGCCGCGGTTAACAACGTCAAGGTCGGCGACCGTGTTGCCGCCCACGCGTACGGAAGCCACGCCACGGTCGTCCGGACACACCACGCTGTTGTCCACAAGCTGCCCGAGTCGATCACCTTCGAACAAGGTGCCGCCATCAACCTGGTGCACGTCACGGCATACTACGCTCTTGTACGTCTGGCCAAGCTGCGCAAGGGCCAGTCGGTCCTGATCCACGCCGCAGCCGGTGGTGTCGGACAAGCCGCCATCCAACTGGCCAAGTACTTGGGCCTGGTCATTTACGTGACCGTCGGATCTGAGAGCAAGCGGCAGCTTATGCGGGAACGCTTCGAGATCCCCGAGGAGCACATCTTCTATTCCCGCGACCTCAGCTTCGTCAAGGGCGTCCAGCGCGTCACCGGCGGCCGCGGTGTCGACTGCATCCTTAATTCGCTCGCGGACGAGCTGCTTCGCGCCTCGTGGGACTCTGGCTGCCTGGCTCCCTTTGGCACGTTTGTCGAGATCGGTCTACGCGACATCACCAACAACTCGCCGCTCGACATGCGGCCCTTTGTCAAGAACGCGACCTTCGCCTTCTGTGATATCCTCACCTACCCTGTTGAGGACCTTGGCAGTGTTCTCGGTGAGATCTACAGCCTCGTCGCGCAGGGCTACCTCTCGCCTGCCTATCCGCTCAAGGCATACCGCCCCAGCCAGGTCGAGGAAGTCTTCCGCGTCATGCAGCAGGGCAAGCACACCGGCAAGGCCGTCATCACCTTCAATGCCGAGGATGATAACGAGGGAGCTCCCGTCTTCCAGCGCGCTGCCGATCTGTTCCGTCTCGATCCGGACGTTACCTACCTCCTGGTCGGCGGCATGGGCGGCCTTGGCCGCAGTCTGGCGCGAAACCTCGCCGCCGCGGGCGCTCGCCACATTGCCTTCCTCTCACGCTCTGGTGATGCCTCGGCCTCGGCCCAGACCTTGCTCAATGAGCTGACCACGCGCTGGAATGTCAAGGCCCGCGCATACGCAGCAGACGCAGCCGATGCAGCATCCCTACAAGCAGCCATGGCGGTATGCGAGCGCGAGATGCCGCCAGTCCGCGGCGTCGTTCAACTAGCCATGGTGCTGCGCGACGTCGTTTTCGAGAAGATGCAGCCCGCGCAGTGGACACAGCCACTCCAACCCAAGGTGGCCGGATCGCGCAACCTGCACGAGTACTTCGGCGCGGACCGCCCCCTCGACTTCTTCGTGCTGTGCTCATCGGTATCCGGTGTCGTCGGTAACCCGGGCCAGGCGGCATACGCGGCTGGAAACACATATCAGGACGCGCTGGCAGCATACCGCCGCAAGCGCGGACTCAAGGCCGTGGCCGTCGACCTGGGCGTCATGCGCGACGTCGGCGTGCTGGCCGAAGGCAACACCGAGAGCGGTGTGCTGGGCCGCTGGGAGGAAGCCGTCGGCATCCCGGAGCCCATCTTCCACGCGCTCATCAAGAGCGTCGTTCATGGCCAGAAGCAGGAGCAGAACTCGGAAGAGGCTGTCCCTGCGCAGGTGGTCACCGGCCTGGGCTCAGCCGACGTCTGGGCAGCCCACCGCCTCCCTCAGCCGTTCTACCTCTCGGACCCGCGCTTCAGCCCCATGGCCATGGCCACGTCAACTGCCTCGTCTTCTGATAGCAGCGCTGAGACCGCCGCCACGGTATCAATCGCCTCGCAGCTCGCGGGCGTGTCGTCGATGCAGCAGGCGGCCGAGATCGTGACCGACGCGCTCTCGAAGCGGACGGCCGAGATCCTGCAGATGCCGGCGTCCGAGGTAGACCCCGCGCAGCCGCTGTACCGTTACGGCGTCGACTCATTGACTGCCATTGAGGTCCGTAACTGGATCGCGCGAGAGCTCAAGGCGAACATGGCGCTGCTGGAGATCGTGTCGGCCGTGCCCATCCGCGAGTTCGCGGCCAAGATTGCTGAGAAGAGCCAGCTGGTCAAGATTACGGAGTAGAATGAAAAGAATGAAGGATATGAAGTTATATGTGTTTCAAATTAGCGAACTGAGCGTGTTTTACGCGTCAATTGGGTCTGGGAAGGCGTTGGTGGCGCAAATTGCTTTCGTGAAAGCATCGATGGTGTTGTGATTGACGGTGGTGTCGTCGAAAAATGGAGACAGAGTGGTCCAGGGGGAGAGAATCCATGCGTAAGGGCTGACGACACCTGGCATCAGGTGGCCTCCAAAAGTCTCGTTATATGTCTGTTGTATTGTCCAACGCATGTTTACTATTGTTCTTGTACATCTTTGCACTCATCCTACTCGTTCTATCCTCAGCTTGAATTGAAGTGAAATCTAATCAAATGCTTTCCTATTTGGAGTACCTAGGTAGTCTCATGTTAGCAAACGAAGTATGTGTTGACATCCGCGTGCGACACAACGCAACCTGCGTCTTCCGATTTGCAATGTAAATCAAGCTCGGCATCGGTGCGAGTACGAAATTTGGGTGGCATCACATGGTTACCTATTCGCGAGGTCGTAGTTCTCATCCTGACTAATAAAGTGACGTCGTCGCATCGTGCATTGCCGCGGATACGCTCGTATTGCCATCCGTCAATACGATTGACCGGACTCACGGAGACTACACATCACCGTCGAATATCTTCGCCGGCAGCCTGTCCATCTAAATAGTTTAAAGGATGGACCTCTTCAAGCCCTCCCCGCCCATTCATCTCATCGACAATCTAACATTCGTCTTAAACCTATATCCTTCCCTAACCTGTAGGTATGTCCTCTAACGGCATTTTTATGAAGGCACCGGCAATGGTGCCGCAGTATGTTTCTGCCGGAGTGGGTATCCTGGCAGTCGTAAGTCTTCCTGTCCGCTCTTCCGTCCAACGTGTACGCTCTCTCAACGGTTCCGCGACGTCTTCTAGTTGATCTTATGGTTCTCTCTCAATGCCGCCTACAACATCTGGTTTCATCCACTCAGCAAATATCCGGGGCCGCGGTGGCAAGCGGCAAGCCGCCTTCCAAACACGATTCAGATCTTCAGAGGAACAGCCACGCGAAATACAGCGCGTCTTCACGAGATCTACGGCCATGCTGTTCGAATAACCCCCAACACCTTGTCTTTCACCAGCAGTCAAGCATGGGACGGTGAGTCGGAACAATCCTTCTCATAACGTTCCGCAGTTGAGCGTTAACACTCTAGTGGAGACACATACGGTCTCAGACGACAAAATGGAAGAGCAAACTTCCCCAAGGATCCAAGCTTTTACATTACACCTCCTGGAGAGGCTGACACCATCGTGCGTGATAACTGTTCTCGCGTCGGCTCGAACACGAAAGCTGACTCGCGCCCCAATAGTCCACAGCAAAAGATGCTGACCATCGCCGACTGCGACGAATCCAAGCGCATGCCTTTTCTGAGAAAGCATTATCGCTACAGGAGGGCTTTCTCAAGCAGTATACTCCCATGTTCATATCTCGATTACACGAGAGTATTAGCCAGCCAGGCGGAGATGTTGTCAATATCACCCGTTGGCTCAACCTTCTCACAACCGACATCATTGGTGAGCTTACATTCGCCGAGAGCTTCGAAGGCCTCAGCAAAGATCGGCTCCATCCCTGGCTCGAAATGGTCTTTTGACTCTGAAAGCCTTCACCTTTATACGGGAGCTGACTCGGCTGCCGCCTGTCTTCATGCGTCTTGCCATGGCATGCATTCCCGCAAACATGCTCAAGCATCAGCGGGCAGCTGTCGCTTTTGGTGCCAAGGCTGCGAAAAGGCGAATGGGGCTCGGTACCGAGCGGCCGGATTTCATGTCGTGCATTCTTCGCCAGACGGGCGAACAACGGTACCTCGCTACCATGGGCTCATTGCATTCCCAGCCGTTTTGCTGACACGCGGATTCCTCAGCATGACGGAACCAGAGATTGAAGCAGCGGCAATCACATTCATCGTTGCGGGCAGCGAGACCAGTAAGTCTGCAGTACCGTCCTGTCTCCTGTACTTCCTCAGCACTCGTCGGCTGATCCTACCTGAGCGGCCACTATGCTTTCTGGCACAGTCTATCTCCTGTGCGAAAACCGACCTGTCATCGAAAGGTTGACGTCTCTTGTTCGGACCGACTTTCCCAACGAGTCTGACCTCACCTTGGTCAAGCTCCAGCAACACGAATACCTCAATGCCGTTCTTCAAGAGGGGCTGCGCCTCTATCCGCCTGCGCCTGACAACCTCTTCCGAGTGACTCCAAAAACCGGAGGATATGTGATGGGTCATTTGCTGCCCCCAAAGACTAGCTTGACTATGAACCTTTGGGCGGCCAACCGGTCGGCGGAAAACTTTCATCGCCCCCTTGAATTTATCCCGGAAAGGTGGGTGAAAGATGCCCCAGTTGAGTTCCGGCAGGATGATAGGAACGCTATGAGACCGTTCAGCGTGGGACCTAGGGATTGTTTGGGGAAGAAGTAAGCTGTGATCCCACAAAGTCGCCTGAACTCATTCTGTGCCTCGCTTATCTAACCATTTCGACAGCCTTGCATGGGCGGAGATGCGCATGATTCTTGCTTATTTGGTTTGGAACTTCGATCTCGAACTCCAATCGGATAGCCAAGGTTGGATTGAGAGACAGAAGGTGTTCATGCTTTGGGAAAAACCAGACCTGAACGTGAAGATTTCCCGGAGACATTGATGAGAACGCAGACCGGAGCATGTCCAGACAGCACTTGATGAGAACAATGAGTACTTTCTTTGAGAATAATTCTGGGCAAAATCGCTATCAATACACAGCTCAGCAAATTTCATGAGTTCTACAGCTTGATGTTTAATCGATGAACGTGACAGCAAAGAGCTCCCATCTTCAAAAAACACCAACGCATGGATGTCCCGATCTGCTACCCAACAGCAGAGGTTTTCCGACAGATAATAAGGGCACCCGTGGGATGGCTGAATTGGGATTCATTCGGGGAGAAACTTAGTGTGGCAACAACTGTCCAATGTATGATTTCCTCGGGACCTTGAACTCATCCGAGCACAGTGAGGTAAGAACCCGGCAGAGCGGTCCGATGCCAGCGGTGGATACCTCCCGGATGAGATTCCAGCCAGTAATTCATATCCACAGCACGATGCTTGCTTAGACACCAAAAGATTCGCCGAATCTCACACCGGCCGGATGCCGTGATTCCCCATGAAGTTGTAGGTAGTCACACGCTCACAAACTTGGCTTCCGGTTGGTGTTGAAGGTGACCCGGTCATCCCCGGAGGACGAAATTGCTACCATTCCCCCACCCCGGTCAGCCGGTACCCCCGCAAAGTGCCTGCTGATAGACGTCATGTTCCTGGCAGTATTCCCGGAAGCGCTTCCCGTCCCCCTAATCCTGCCCATTTCTCCTCACGATGTGGAGGCCCTGTGGAGGAACTCCGCACTTCAAACCTATCAATCATCTTACCTGCGCAACGCAGGATGACATTCCTGAAGTAAAGTTTGCAAGTCTTGATGTTCTGGAAAAAAGAATCCTTGGCTCGGCCGAGAAACGCACCGATTCGATCGTCGCACCAGCGGTGAGCCGGCTACTCTTCGGGGATTTATATAAGTCCGTGTTGTTACATAGCTCATTAAACGGGGCTTCAATGACCATAGAATAGATACATAGGTGCTCACAACCATCGTGGAGAACGCCTTGTCTCACCACCCGACTTTTCGAGAGTCAACCCGTTCAGAATGTGGTCAACTGGAAGCTTGGCTGCTCTTGCGCAGCTTCTCGCGCTTTCGACAGGCGTTGCAGCCGTCGCGCAGTCGCCAGAAGTTTACCCGTCGCGTAAGTCTCGTTGCCTGTCCAACAAACCTGTGCGCGTCAACAAATCAACAACTGACGTAATTGCGAAATAGCATCTGGAAGTGGATCAGGAGTCTGGAAAGATGCGTACGCCAGCGCGCGTAAATTAGTAGACCAATTGACTTTGGAGGAAAAGGTCAATATTACTCGTGGATTTGCGAGCGACAATGTTTGTGCTGGCAATACCGGGTCAATCCCGCGGCTGGGGTGGCCTGGGATGTGCCTTCATGACGCAGGCAATGGCGTGAGAGCGACCGATCTGGTCAACTCGTATCCTTCAGCTTTGCACATCGGCGCCACTTGGGACAAGAACTTAACCTATCATCGTGGGTATTGGATGGGAAAGGAGTTCAAGACCAAGGGAGGTGAGTGCAAAGACAGAACTTCCAACTCAAGAGCGTGACTGACGCCTTGGCTTAGTGAATGTTCTACTTGGACCAAATGCAGGTCCTCTCGGAAGATCACCTCTTGGTGGCAGAAACTGGGGTAAGAATTTTGCACCGCGACTCCCAAATTCGGACACTAAAATTGTGCCTAGAGGGTTTCTCGGTTGATCCGTACTTGTCGGGACAGCTCAACGCGGAGACCATCATTGGTCACCAAGATGCCGGTGTCATTGCCAACCTGAAGGTAGAATTCTTTGCTCCGAATGGAATGAGCATTATTCACTGACCTTACACGGTAGCATTTCATTGGAAACGAACAAGAAACCTACAGAAGACCATACTTTGGCGTCGAAGCCGCATCGTCCAACATCGATGACAAGACACTGCATGAGTTCTACCTCTGGCCCTTTGTCGATGGTGTCAAGGCCGGTGCTGCATCCATCATGTGTTCCTACAACAGAATCAACAACACCTACGGCTGCGAAAACAGCAAACTCATGAACGGCGTCCTCAAGGGCGAGCTCGAGTTCGATGGGTTTGTGCTCCTCGACTGGAACGCGCAGCACAACCTCCAGAGTGCCAATTCTGGTCTGGACATGGTCATGCCTCTTGGGGGAAGTTTTGGTCAGAACTTGACTGATGCTGTCAACAATGGTACCGTCGACGAGTCTCGAGTGACGGATATGGCTACAAGGTAATTCATCCCAATTCAAACAATCCAAGAGACGTTATTAACCTCTTCCAGAATTCTTGCGGCTTGGTACCTTGTTGGCCAGGACTCAGACTTCCCCACTCCCGGGATTGGTATGAAGAATCTCACAGAGCCTCACGAGCAAGTCGATGCTCGCGACCCAGACTCGAGGTCAAACATTCTCGAGGGCGCAATTGCGGGACACGTCCTCGTGAAGAATGAGAACAATGCCCTCCCCTTCGCTAAAGCACCCAACATGATCTCGGTCTTTGGGTATGATGCCACGGTACCCGACACGAAGAACACTGACAAGCTGTTTGAGCTTGGCTACTACTCCTCTCCAGAGATGGGCCAGGCCGTACTAGGCACGGAAAGACACTTCGACCAAGCGGCCAAGGGAGGAACCATCGTTAGTGGAGGCCGCGCTGCCGCCAACGCGCCGTCTTATATCCTCGATGTAAGCCAGACCTCTCCAAGCATCATCGGATCTAACTGACCCATCGCAGCCCCTCAGCTCCATCCAGCACAGAGCAGCCAAAGACGGTAGCTGGGTAAACTGGGACCTCACGTCTCCCAATCCCGACGTCAACGCCGCCAGCGACGTCTGCCTCGTCTTCATCAACGCCATGGCAACGGAAGCCTGGGACCGCGACGGCCTCCATGACGACTTCAGTGACGGTCTCGTCCTCAGCGTTGCCTCCAAATGCGCCAACACCATCGTCATCATCCACGCCGCCGGCATCCGCCTCGTCGACCAGTGGATCGACCATCCCAACGTCACCGCCACCGTCATCGCCCACCTTCCTGGCCAAGACAGCGGCGAAGCGCTTGTCCAGCTTCTCTACGGCGAGGCCTCCTTCTCCGGAAAGCTCCCCTACACTCTCGCCAAGAATGAGAGCGACTACTCTGTCTACAAGCCCTGCGGGCGCGGTGAGACGAACACGACGAGTCCGCAGTGCGACTTCACGGAGGGCGTCTACATTGACTACCGCGACTTCGACGCGAAGAACGTTACCCCTAGATACGAGTTTGGGTATGGCCTGAGTTACACCAGCTTCGAGTACTCGTCAATCTCCATCAAGAAGCAGGATACACAGGCAGGCTTTGCGGCAAACTCTGATGCCTTATGGTCTACCGTCGCAACCATCCACGCCACGCTGAACAACACGGGGTCCCGCGCGGGAGAGGAAGTCGCGCAGCTGTATGTTGCCATTCCGAACAGTCCGCCGAAACAGCTTCGTGGGTTTGAGAAGGTGGCCCTTGAGAGTGGACAGGGTGCGGACCTACAGTTCGAGTTGACAAGGCGGGATTTGAGCGTGTGGGATGTCGTGGCTCAGAAATGGACTCTTCAGGAGGGCGATTATACCGTGTTTGTAGGCGCGAGCAGCCGAGACTTGCCTCTGTCGCAGGTCCTTTCGATCTGAGCCCGAGCATCTTCAGTTGAGGACTTTCCTTCCCTCTTGAGTTCTTAATACTTAGTCTGATGATGAACTTATGGTCAAGTTGTTTCGTTCTCCGTGAGGTTGAGTACACAGATGTATACACGTCTGCCTAATCAGACACTTCAAAGAGATTAAACACGGAGGAGGGGACTCCTCTGCCTTATCCGTGTACAAACCTTTCGAGAGCCCTGCTTCCACTGAGACATCATCGTATGCACTAGAGAAGTTCAAAAAGCAAAAGAAAGGTCCATCCAGGATTCGAACCTGGGCTTACGGAAAGTTCCGAGATCATCAGAATCCGACGTCCTAACCAACTAGACTAATAGACCATTTGAGTTGATCCAGCCGTAGTGAGCTGGTGTGAGCATTTTTGCGGAAAATGTGGAATATGTTGCGTGGGTTAAGCCCTCGTGGACCTCAAGTGGGGGCAAGTTTGACCAGGACCAGGATTGGGTCAACACAAGCCCACCGCCATCAACAGATCCAGGTCCCTTGTGATATCTTCAATCTTTTAATATAACAATTTAATGTAAGCCCTGTGGCTTCAAAAGAACGTTGCCATGAACCTGCCCCATTGTATCAAAACCCGAACCGTTCCAGGCACTCAATCAACTTCTTCTCACCAGCAGCCCGCATCTCTACAATCTGCTCCGCCGTCTTTCTCTTCAACATGACTGGGTGATGTAGCGCGAATGGAGCAAGAAGGCTCTCCAGCTTTCGAAGTTGTTCGAGCGCAGCCATGCCAGCAATTTCACTTGGTCTCAGCGCTCCTCTCTCAGCCAATGCATCATCCCAGGCCTTTGCTCTCACAAGTTGCCCGACCGCCTCTTCTGGCAGATCGGGGATGTCGAAGTTGCCCGCCAGCATTGCTTTGGCAATGTTACCATCGCTCAAGTCGGGGTCCCGTGCAGTGCCGCCGTTCGTGCTGCCTCCAATGTCTCCGAAGGAGGTGAAGAACTCGTGGGCTGGATGAGAGACGTAAGCCCAGTCAAAATCAAGAACTCCCGTGATCTGTTTTGTTGCAGGGTCGTATTGGATGTTGTTGGTAGCTGATATTCATGTTAATAAACGCATCTCGGGAGAGCAATAGTCCGCCCATGACTTACTGAGGTCGCCG